TTATTAGAGAGTAGATTTAGAGTAGACATCCGCAAGAACTACTTCACAGTTAGGGCGGCTAGGAGCTGGAACCAACTTCCTAGGGAAGTGGTGCTGGCTCCTACCCTGGGGATCTTTAAAAAGAGGCTTGATGACTACCTGGCTGGACTCATTTGAGTCCAGTCTTTTCTCCCGCCCAGGCGGGGGGGTCGGATTTGAAGATCTACAAGGTCCTTTCCGACCCTACTTCTATGATATGATATGAATGGAAGTTAATTTTCATAAGTTCTCACCCAAACGTTATTGCTGTCAACATATCTCACCAACTACGGTTTGTTAGCCCATTGCTTCATAAGAGGAGTAATAAAAGGATTATTTAGGAACAGACTTTGTTTATTTCCCTTTTTTTTTTTTTTTTTTTTTTAGGAGAAGGAAAGTCTTGTATACATGTCACATGTACTTGATTACAGTGGCCATGGAATGAATACTGCTAAGAATCAGCAGATCCATTTTTTCTAAATGAGTATTTTTCATGCAGTTGCTAGCTTCATTTTGAATTTTAAAAAGTTCCATGTTTAAAGTAGCATATAAAGTTGCTTCCACTTACCACTCTCTTTTCCCGAAAGTCAATGCCCACTGTTGTTATGAACTTGGAATTAAATTTGCCATCTGTGTACTGGTAGAGAAGGCTGGTCTTTCCTACTCCAGAGTCACCAAGAGCTAAAAATTTGATAAGGTAATCGTAGTCCCCATCAGACATAGTGAGAACTTAGTAGACTACCTTAAAAAACAAAAAAGATTATTCATTTCATTACCAAAAGCAAGCCAGTAGGTCGATTAGCTCTCAGCAAGAGGACCGTGTCCAGTTTTTGGTACTACATTCTACAAAGGATATAAAGAACCTGGAGGGTCCAGCAATGAACCATGATGATGATGATGATAATAAAAGGGTTGAAAAATAATCTGTATGGCAAAGATTGAACAGAAATGCTTAGTTTGAAGAAAAGAACAATAAAATGTTAGGTTTCATTAGGAAAAGAATTGAAATAAAATTATATATATCATTATACCACCATATATAGCAGAATGGCGAACAACCACACACTGTTTCTGTTGTGCAGTATCTTTCCTTTTAAATCACCTCTATAGAACTGTTACCTCTGATTGCTCCAAAAATGGTAAAAATGAACGAAGTAGTTATACATTTAACCTTAAATGAAAGCGGTTTAAACTTGCAATGTTTCTGCTGCACTTGTCTGGCTATAGAAGCATGCAGAAGTAGAAGTTACAGCATACACTTACTGCTCAACGGCAAGGGTTGGTCCCCATTAACACAACTGTTTGCTGTTCTACTGTAAATCCACAGTATGTCTATATCCTGAACCCTATGTGCAGTCCTGGTCATCACATTCCTGAAAGAATAAACTAGACCTGGAACTCCCACACAAAACTAACACAGAGGTGTGGAATGAATTCCACATGACAAGATAATCAGAAGACATAAATGGGAGGAGATATGAAAGAAGTCTATAAAATTGTAAATGGTACACAAACAGGGAATAGTAAGCTTATTTAACATGTCTCATAATGTAAGAACTGAGGACACCCAGTAAAATTATGAAGCAGGAGGTTTAAAACAGACAAAAAGGAAGTACATTTTTTATAGACTGAATAATTAATATATAGAACTCAATGTCATAGGATGTTGTGGTGGCCAGTACCGTAACTAATCAAAAAGGTTTAGACAACTCATGGAGGATAAGATCATCATGGTTATTAATCACAGCGGCTAAGGATGTAACCTTGTGAGAGTATTACAGGGAATGGATCACTACAAATGTCCTGCCTCTGATACTATTCCTCAAAAGCAGATGCTTTTGGAGCTAGACTGTTCTTAGTGGTGACAGATGACAGAACAAGGAGCAGTGGCCTCAAGTTGCAGCAAGGGAAGTTTAGGTTAGATATTAGAAAAACTCTCACGAGGAGGGTAGTAAAGCGCTGGAATAGGTTACCCAGAGAGGTTGTGGATTCTCTATTCTTGGAGGTTAAGACCCAGATAGGCAAAGCCTTAGCTGGGATGATCTAGTTGGGGCTGGTCCTGCTTTGAGCAGGGGGTTGGACTGGATGGCCTCCTGAGGTCCCTTCCAACCCTAACTTTTTATGATTCTGTGATCACTGACAAGTCTATTTGTTATGCTGGCAGGGTGGGTCTAGCTCATTAGCAAGCTACAAGCCTCCTTCAAAGGGTAGAAGGAGGCTGCTAACTGTATAACAACTGAATGCTTGGGATGAAAAAAAAGGAATAGGAGTGCAGGTTATGGGGTGAGCAGGCACCCCAAGCAAAGAACACCTTCTAGTACCTTCTGCCCCTCAAAAGTATCTTAGGAGCCTGTGGATGCCGTTCAGTGAAACTTCTTCCTGGAGACATGCCCGGATGAGTAAACTGAAGACAATCACCTGGGTTGTCCCAGACAGAACCTCTTTCCTAGACAGCCAGGCCTGGGCAATGGACAGGGCACTGAGTGCAGGGCACAGAACCCCCCTTCCTTCCCTCAGCTCTCACACTCCTTTATAGCAGCAAACAACAAAAATTAAAGCGCTTAAGAGAAGTCCTTCATACATCTTTTACACAGAAGTATCTGGTTGGGAAGGAAAAACCTTGAAGGGGCCTCTGTCTTCAAAGTGTTCAACGTTGTCCAAGTTTGGCCACACCAAAGCTTACTGTCAATGAAAGGATCAATGGAACTCCCACACTCCTGATGCAAATCACCAGCTAAGCTTTGTAGTAAACTGGTGATGGAGAAGTGAAAGGAAACCAAAGAAGAGGCACTCCAGACTGCTGGGACTTAGGGAAAGGCATAGGAAAGGAACAGCAGCAGGTAAAAGATCAGCACAGGACTGGACGGCTGGTGTCTAAAAAGGAAACAGGTACTGAGCAAAAGAGAAACAAGATTTGAGTGCATTAAAATAATGCTCACCCAATAACAGGGTGTTATTTGTGGGCTTGGGAACAGTGGACTGCATGCACCATCCTCCCTAGGAGAATTAAGATGGGGTGGGACTCTGAGCTTGTACAGTACTACCTCAACCTTCTGCCATTAGGAGACAGGAGTCAGGGCAGCCCAACTGATAAGCAGTGACCTACAGGAGGCAGAAGGTTTTTTAGCTGATGTGGACTTGATCCAGCCCCACTTATGCAGTATGCTGAAAGCTGTGCTAAGTACCAGATTTCATCTGGGATCGCCACTGACATTCCAATTTAGGGATTTACACTATATGTACTGCAATTTTGGTGGTGTCTAGTGCAGTAGAGCGTTTTAAAAAAGGGTCTGGTTTGAGGTTCTTGTAAACCATCAGGTTTCTAGATATTGGCCTTAAGAATAACATTGCACTGTTCCATGTTCCATGCAGGTCTCCCTTCCTCTTATGCCTCTAGTTAAGTCTGAGGAAGTAGAGAAGAGGGACATGTAGTTGTTTTTCTTCCCAAAACAGGCTCTTTTTCACTTAAAAATAGCTGAGAAATATTTTGTCCTGTGAAAAATCTCATTTCCAAGTTTGTAATACAACAAAAAATATATTGAGAGAATTTTCTCTTTTCTTAGTGAAAGTTTGAATTATTTTACCAATCCAGGTGCTTGAATATGTCTTACACTATTACTTCTTCAGTCATTATAGTTAAATAAAAAGGTATCAAATATTCAAAATCCAGAAGTGAAAACTAGAGTAGAAAGAACAAACCATTCACAGAGGTACCATATCAACTGCAGCAAAATTCAGTGTCCACGATAACAGATGTCAATGTTCTCTAGTACTTTCCTGTTGAGTAGCTACTGACCTCCTTTTCCTCCAAAATAAACAATACAGAATTGCCTTATGTCATTTTTAAAGGAAAAGACTATCTAAACAAAAGCCTGAAGCAACAGTTTGGAAGGCAATAGAAAATGAGCACAAAGACTACCAATTACCAAGAAAGAAACAGTTATCAAAATATGAAAAGAAAAACTGGAAGGAATTCTATTTTCCATCCTAAGTGTACAATGTGAACTGCACAATGTGAATATTATTAGAATTTAAATGCTATTTTGTGCTCAAAATTACATCAAGCTGTAAGGCTAAGCACTTCACCAAATCTTCAGCATCTCAGTTACATCCACAGCAGTAAAATTCTGCCATCACTTATATAGCAGTAATTCATTCCTTAAACAACAGTGCACAACTTGAGATTTGGAACAAAGTCCAGACTTCAAATGTATTGGTGTCAGCAGTCATCACTGAGGTAGGAATGCAAGTTGCCTTTAAAGCTTTGCTTTTACTGCAAAATTGTATTTTCAAATGGAACGTGACTGTGGTAAATTGAATTAGCCAATTTGGTGTGATAAAGACTTCCCAGACAATATATAGATAAGAGTGATTTTCAAAGGCACAAACAGTGCTTTCTACCCACTGACTTTCAACTGGAGTTGGGCACATAATTGCCACTTGTTCCTTGGAAGTTTACCCCATGGGTTAGTCGCATTTTTTATTCATGAAGGAACCCTACTGGGGCAAGGTTTAACAATGAACAACAGACATACATAAATTATTCATACCTATTAGGGCTGTGCAAAATGGGCTGTACTTGATTTGGATTCAGCCCAAATCAGAAACAATGATTGATTTGGATCACTGTCCCCTATTCAGTTCGGCCAAATCCAAATCTGAAGATTCAGTGCTGATTCGGAGAATCAGCAATTCAGCCATAGACACAGCTTTAAAAGTTTTTTCTACATGCCTTGAGGTATCAGGCGCAGCTCATGAATGCTGCAATGGTGGGGCAGATGGAGCATCCCACAGGAGCGCAGTTGGGAGCTGCCGGCATGCTCGGTAGTGAACCCGGAAGTGGACCGAAAGTACTTCTGGTCCATTTCCAGGTCTGCCAGGGACCGTGTTCAGGGACTCCCCTGCGCCCCCTTGGCTCAGCAATTGGCTGTGGGGGTCCCCGGGTACACCCCCAGACCCAGGAGGCACCAGTCACCCAGCTGGGGGGGGGGCATGGGGGAGCCCCCCAGCACACTCCCCAGCAGACCCGGAAGTGGACTGGAAGTACTTCTGGTCACTTCTGGGTCTGCTGCCGAGCGCGCTGGGGACCCCCCACACTCCTGTGGGATGCTCAATCCGCCCCAGCATCTCAGCATTCACAAGCTGGCTGGTACCTTGAGTTATGTAGAAAAAACATTTAAAAGCTGTGTCTACGTCCAAATCACTGAATCTTTCTGAATCGATTTGGAGGGTTCCAATTCGATTCGGTAAGATTAAAGGGTCTCCTGATTAGATTCGGATTTGGAGATTTGGCCACCAAATCGAGTCAGGGCCCGAAGCTTTGCACAGCCCTAATGCCTACACCCTCCACAAAAGTCATAGTGAACTAAACTGACTATGCATGATCACATTCTAACAAAATTAATTTCAGTAATTATATCAAAACCTCAGAGCAGAAAGCAGCCAACGTTTCTACATACCATTCTTTGACTCCAAACCTGCAGAAATACCCTATGTTTCAACTTGAAAAACAAACGCTGAATAGAGCTAGTGCAGACAGTAAGATACTGTGATAAAAGGCTTTAACCAACAATTAAAATAAATGATCCATCCTGGTACTCATAAAACACTGGCAAAAACATTTTTGGAAGAAGAGAGAGGAGGAAACTCAGACCACCTATCTAGCAGTTTCTTTTGATACATATTAGGAGATAAAGACACCAACAGAAAAATCTCAAGACTGATTTCTCAAAGCTTCTTACTCCAATATGTAGTTTGTGATGTTGCCTGCACATCTTTTTCCAAGTCCTCTTACAGTCCTGTGCAAGCCCTTCCCTCTTTTTAAATCATAAATTATTTTCTGCATAAAGACTAGTAAAGTTACTGGAGATTAAAAAAAGGCCTAACTACTGAAAATGTCCGTCTTGGGCCCATATACTATGAAGACAGGTATCCTTGAAGTTATTAACTTGACTGTCACCCCTCCCTCTTCAGAAGTATTTGTCCCATCTCATCTGTATTATTATAGCTAGATTTAGGTCTTCAGAACCTGAGGTTTTGGTAATAAAACATGGCACTAGTGGTAAAGGCAGTCTTTACTGCTAACTTGTTTTTGGGGTGAGAAAGTTAACATGTGGGCACAGAACTTAGAAAAGAATAAAATTATCATTACCTATTTCTTGCTAAGACTTACTATAAGAGTTGCCCATTAAACTAAGGCTACAGATAGACAAACATTTAAGATACTTATATAGCTTATCTTACAAATAAGATCTGTTTGGATAACCTTTCACATAAGAAAGACTTATCTGGCCTTTGCTTTAATTCAGCACATAGGTAGCAATTAACATCATTTGCAAAATACTGGAAGTGGGACTAGTCTCTTGACAGGAAGTAAATGAAATCACATTCTAATCAACCGTTTGAGAAGAAAATGGTTGTTTCTTGAGCTTGGTGAAGTGCCTAAGCCCCCAGACACACCCTCTTATGATAAACATACCATTCACATGTCTCCAGGAAGTGTTCATTGTAAAGCTCTGGAATTGCTAACCTAACCCTGAAGAGATGCTTGACAGATTCAAGTCCTGTCCTCCTCCCTGTACAAATATTTAAAAAGTAGTCTCCACCCTCCATCTTACAATTTGGGAGTCCAGAAGCACCCAACTTTCTACTACATGATCTCAAAACTTACATTTAATAGCAGAACTCTTCAGGAAGTACAATAAAGAGAAACAAAGCCTTTAATACTTACACAGATTTTATCTCCAGTTTTTTTTTCCTTAATACAATTAAGTTTTCTTTAAAAAGAAATGCATCACATGCATGGCCTGGTATGTTTGCCTGGCACTGAAGTGGCATATTTCATCTACCAAAGCCACCACAGCCCAAAGTGATGAAGGAGCAGATGATGATGCTAGCTTAGCGGCCTAAGCCATAGGTTTGAAATACAAAGAGGATAAAATCCTGTGCCTACCAAAGCCCTTGTAATACTATTAGGGAATTCATTGGGGCAAAGATTTCATCTGCTCTCCACCACCTTGGAATGGATCAGGTCAGTCCTTCAGCCTTCCAAGAAAGATAAGCTGATATTCTTGCTTTTTACCTTCAAGGAAAGTTCTTGTCTGCTCTCAATACTATTGCTACGTGGAACTTCAATCAATTTGAGTTTACCCAAAAATGCATCACCCAGCTTTACACATTTTCTGTTGTGCAGGATCAGTTGCTGCCCTTGCTCCAAGATGCTCCCCTTTCACTAATATTGTATGGACATTGGTTGTGAAATTCTTTAGTATTGGAGGCAAAAGGTGCTATATACATGCCAATTATCAGTAATAAACACAGCCTCCATTCATCTTTTGAGAAACTATCAAGAGGGGATGAAGAACTGTGGCTGGTAATATTTGAAACTTCATCATTTATTATATAAAACCATAATTTTTTTTTCCATCATAGGATTCTTTTTAATTAAGTTTGTGGTAATCTTTCCATAGTAGCACACCATCTAGTCCATTCTTCTTACTTTCATGTGCCCTTCCCCTTAAGGAAAGGAAATCTGAGGGAAGGATGGGATGGAACTAAAACCTAGCAAGAGGTCTGAAATATGCATGGAAAGATCCTTGTCCAGCATTACGTTTGTGGGCAGTAAATATGAGAGCTATTTCTTCAGCTGAGAATACAAAGTCACTGAGGAACAGTTCACACTCCACAGTAAGCATTCCAGTCCTCTTTTTACAGGCCGCTTGTGTTCTGGTTATAGTCAGTACTTCACTTAGTCCAGTGGCAAGATGGACAGAGAATGTGAAAGTCTGAAAAGCACCACTACCAATTTGTATCATTCATAAGAACTGTATAATCAACATAGTCTCTATCTAGATAGCCAGGTCTATAGCACTTCCATTCGTTATGCCTAGTATCTACTACTTGGCCAAAAAGAAAAATTCCCCATTTGTTGATGAATGGCAGGATCCTATTAAAGGAGTATATTGACATACTCCATAATAATCTTCTCTCAGTTTTATGTGGTCATATTTTGACCAGGGCACATTTGGTTACAAACAATACCATGATTGTATTGAGTGACAAAACATTCAAGACTGTGGCACCTTTGTTCCTGAATATGTTACAGGAAAAACTGGCTTGACATGCAGAATTTCCCCTCCACAGTAAAGCTCAGAGAGTGCTCTATATACACAGACAAGTGTTGGGCTTTCAGTAAAACATGTAGCTCCTGTTCTGCCAAACAGCTTGTGGGGGTAGGAAGCAAAATAGATCAGTTTACAGTGATAAAGGTGCAGCTCATGGAAAAACAGACTAAACTGTCAGTTAAAAAATACACTGGCACAGATACGCATCTTGAACTACCACCCACATGCATGCTCTAAGCAAACTGTTCTCTGTTAAACACAAGGTTAAACCAAAAAGTTATAAACACTTACCTCCTTCCACTATGTTAAAGAAATATACTGGTCTACTCAGAGATTTATTCCTAGTGGGAGCACTTTTACTAGCTCCACCTGTTTAGTACACAGTCAGCAGCAGCCTACGTGTCACCTGTTTGCATATATGTCAGTGGCTGTTTATAGATAAAAAGGAGTGCTTCATGTCTGCATGTGTAAAGGAGGAGCTGACTGATAGCACGGCTGGGAAGCAATTACATAGCTTATAACATGACCCATTTGTTTCCTGAACACAGAGCTCCCCAGGAAGGTAGCTGTATATATTCCACAAAGGAGAAGATGAAAGTAATTAGATCAGATCTCTCATATGTGCATGAGAGAGAGAGGCTACATTTTTATACGCAATTGCCCAATAGAGACAATATCACTCAATTAAGCACATGATATAATGATCACAAGTGTTAAACTTCAGTTTTAAAAGCACAATGGCTATAGTATGATTTGCAACTTCACACTTTCTTGTCTCAGACAGGAAACAACATGTCAGCAATTTCTACTGTCTAGCAATGTTTAACTGTCTTTCTCCATCTGTATATACAGCTGAACACAAAAGGTGTTTTGATCATGGTAGGGCTTTTACCATATATTTCTAAAGAAAAAAAGAAGGACATTTTGTAATAATAAAAGCAACTCCTTGGCTCAAATCTGTAAAGCAAATTTTCTGACTGACATCATAAATGTCCATGAAAAATTATAAACCCCTCCAAATTTCTGCACAGCAAAAGCTAAGTACGTTTTAAAACTTTGAGACAACTGGAGACAGAAGGTAGCAACAAAGGAACTCTCTCCTCATATTTATACTTCATGTTTCCCCCACACAAGAGAGAAAAAAATCATTTGTCCCTCTCTAAAAATATTGCATTTGGAACCACTTGGCTAAGGCTACCACTTCCCCATGGCAAAACAGGATTTTAGGCAGAAGCATCAATACTTGCTCCCATGTTCCACTATCAAGGGGAGCCAACCACAAAGTCATTAATGAACTTGTATGATTCAACATATCCCACAGACTGATGTTTAGAGACAAACTAATTAAAACTCTCCAAATGACAAAGACTAGGCCTATAATTAATTCACACAGTAGTTATCATTTTAAAAAGGTCATGTGACCTAGCCACGAGTTACCGTAAGCTACAGAAGAAGTTTTTACCAATGTTTTACGATTTTCATTACAGGTTACAGGCCAGAAAGAACTACATCTGTCAGTTTAGCTTTGCTGAGTACCTTGTCTTTTGTATCCAGTGAGTACTGAATCCTGATGATAAAAAGTGATTCACTGGAGCTAGGTCAGTCCTCAGTCTGATCTGAAAGGCAAAAGGCAAGCTACAGAAGGAGCAGTATAGAAAAGAAGGTGGGTATTTTTCTTGTGGTCATGTCAGGCTGGCACTTAATAGATGAAGGAGCAGGTGTTAGCAAGTTGCAGCATACTCAAAAGGCATCACTATTTTGGGACACTATGGGAATCTACTGCTGATCAAACCATCCAAAATATGGATTGCTGCTGATCTACATCTGTAAAAAAGTGCTTCAACAACCAAAAAACATCCCATACATGGCTTGGCTTAGCTTATATGAAACCAATATCATATACGGTTCTGTTTATCATCATTACCAAATCAATATTGATTTTGTTCATTTATAACTGAAATGATTTTTCTTCCAACTTGTAGCCCTACAAACTTAAGCTTGGGCTCCGGGCTCTTCTGTGCATCACCCTAGGTGAAGAGATTCAGAAGCTAAATTCTAGGCCCGTGCGAAGCAGTTAATATTTGCTTTGGATTCGGCTGATTTGGGGGACAGCGATTTGATTCAGCAATTTGAATCACTATCCCGAATTGATTCAGCCAGAGCTGGTTCGGAGATTCGGCTGCTGCTGCTGAATCTCCAAATCAGCCAGGCCCATCCCCACCAGCCTAACAATGCCCGCCCCAGCTCCTGGCACTTGGGGAAAAAAAAAAAAACAAAAAAACCCACAACCCGACTCACTGGGTGCTGCCAGGCAGGGAGGCGATCCCTGCTGTCCCCCACTGCATGGGGGGCTCTCCACGAGCC